AACACATTCTTTTCTCTCACGCTGATCATTAGCAGTTATCGTGTTCACCAGGAGTTAGCCCCTGATGTAAGTTCTTGGATATACACTGTCAGTAAATACTCAAAACTGCCCTTTGCGTAAATTTTATGGTATGAGAATTATGCCACAATAAAATACATACACATAAGAAATTAGAAAAAATAATAATACTTTGAAGCTGAGATGATCATTAGTGCAAATCAATACAGGGGGCAGAGACTTAAGCCAGGTATTTGAGCACAGATCTGTGCCCCCCAACTACTGTATCTTAATGTCACCCCTTTCCTCCCACATTGTGCCTTTTTAGCATGGCAGCTGCGTGACAGTTGTATATGCCAACATAAAGACTTCAAAGCATTATAGCTCATAATAGCTCAACTACAGTATTTGCCACTCTGTATTACTGCAGCACCAATTACTTGCCAGTCTATAAAATCACCAACGAAATAACACTTAACAAATTGACTTAAATTTTAAGCACATATTAAGGAGCAAATACTCAGGGTATTTGGGTTTAGAAATATCTGAATCCCAATGATGTTGAGGCCTTTTTAAAAGCTCGTCAAGGAGAAAGGCAAAGAAACTAGAAAAGCCGAAATAGGTTTGAAAAAGAATAAAGATAGAGAGCTAATTTCAGTTATCAAGTATTACATTAGTGAAAGAATAGACATGTAAGCAAATGCAACACAGAAAAAGTCCAGAAGCAAATCAACATGTATAAAATCAATTGATATTTGACAAATTTGAAAGGCAATTCAGCAAAGGACAATGTCTTCAACAAACAGTGTTTACTTGACAGAACATTCTATTTAAAAAAACAAAAAACAAACCTTCACATTTGTGCAAAACATAATTCAACAAAGATTACAGCCTACATAAGAAACTTAAAATTATAAAACTTGTAGAAGAGAATATAGGGAAAAAAACTTTATGGCTTGGGTTTGGCTGACATTTCTTCAGCCTGACACCAACGCATAATTCCTAAGTGGTATAAATTGTATCTAGGTGTCCCCCCAAAGCCACATGCAGGTGGGATTTCCAGAGGGGGTTGGGTCCAAGGTGTTCTCGAGATGCTGGGATTCAGTGTGTGACAGATGCGAGGACCAAGGGTGTATTTGTTTACTGCATTAGCCCATGGACTGGTCTGGATATGGGAAGGCCCCGAGTGTAAATGCTGCTGGCCCTACGGGCACGTGTAGCCTGAACAAAATAGAAGGGACAGAAAGAGGGCTGCTGTCATCACTGCTGTTCACTTACTGCCTCCTTCTTCACTGCTTGCTGACTTCTGCTTGCCATGAACTGTTTCTCCTTTGTGAAGCTCCTCTGCCATGCCACTCTGCCTAGAAGCCAGCCGACTTTTTAACTGAAACCTCTACAAACTGTGAACTACAGTTGTTTCTTCTTTAACTTTGGGTGGTGGGTGATTTATCTCAGTAACAAGAAAAATAAGACAATAAGAAAAAGACAAAGAAAAGTAATGGGTTTTTGTTGCTGTGTTTTGTTTTGTTGTCTTCCTTGTCTTGTTATGCAGTTCAGGTTGGCTTTGAGCTCACTTTGTAGCTCAGGATGGCCTCGAATTTGTAAGGATCCTCTTGCCTCAGCCTCCTCAGTGCTGGGATTACAAGCATACACCACCACACCCAGCTAAAACTATGTTTTGTAAAACATATATCTGACTAAAAAATATAGTCAGAATGAAAATATTTATAAAACATACTTCTCATATAAGACTTGTATTCAGAAAATATAAAGAACATTTAAAGCATAATAAAAATGAAAGCAAAAATTTACAAAATAGGCAAGCGTTGTCAATCAGACACTTTACCAAAACAATGTAAGACTGGCAAATAAACATACTGGGAAATTATTAATGATTAAGAATATAGTACACAACTATCAGATTGGGAGGAAAAAAGCAAATTTGACAATACCAGATGCTGGTGAAGGTCATGCACTACTGGTATAAAAGCAAAATGACACACAGCCACTTTGGAAAACGCATGACAGCTACTTAAAAAGTTAAACATACACTTCCTATCAACACTTGCATCTAGAGGTTCTCCCAAGGCCTCAAGTGCTTATAGGTGGGACTTTTGGGACATAGTTGGATTAAGAGTGTGTGACACTGAGACTGAGGGTGTATGGTACAGGATCAGCCCCACCAACTGGTTTATTAGTGTTGGGTATGGATAGTGGGAAGCCCCACCTTGGGGTATGGAAGGCAATAGTCTGGATGAGAAAAAGAGGGAAGGGGAGATTTGCTGCTTCCTGCCTGCTGTCTTGGAAGGTCTCCCCTGAGGCACCCTCTTGCCATGCCCTCCCTGCCTTGGAGAAAGCTGACTATTGAAAGGATTTTGCCCTAAAGGGGACGCAGCTGCAGCGGTGGGAGGCTGGGAGGTGGAAGGTCACCTTCCCTGCCCCTAAGCAATTTACCTTGGCTTGAAATAAATTCCAATGAGCTACCTGTGCATCAGTAATGCCCCTTAAGCTCCACCCCAAACCTAAGCTATACATATGCCCCCATACCACACGTCCAGCAGAGACAAAGCCAGACCTCAGTGGTCGGGAGTTCTCTCTCCGCATTCTCCGAATAAAGGCCACTTTCCACTTTTATCTCATATTTCTATCTTTTTAGCCATGCCGAAAATTCTATCAGCTATGAATATTGAAACCTCTAAAAACAGCTAGTTGAAATAAACCTTTTCTCCTTTAACTTTTGGTGTCAGGTATTTTGTCTCAGCCAGGAGAAAGTATCCAAGACCCTTACCACAGGATCCAGTATCTCCATTACTACTATTTACTGACTCTACAGTATTTCCTCACGAGAAAGAGAGAGCTACAGTGCACTGTTCACAGGAGCACCGCTCACATGTTTTTTTAAAAACTGGAAATTTCAAATGGGAAGACTATTCAATATTAAAAAGGAATGCTACTTCAAAGCTGAAAGAGTTTTGGCCCAGGCCGAACACTGTAGCTGGAAAAGCCTCCGGCGGAACCAAGGAGCTCCAGCTCCCCCACCCCTAGGAATTTACCTATGGCACCAAAAGAATTCCAATGGGCTACCTGTGCATCCCTAATGCCCCTTAGGTTCCACTCCAAACCTAAGCTACATGTATGCCCCCACTCCACGTGTTCCACGGAGAGATCGCCAAGGGGGGGGTGTGGTAATGCTGCGCCCCAGGGGATGGAGGGGTGTCTCTCCCCGCATTCTCAAAATAAAGGTCATTTATATTTCATACTTATCTTTTCAGCCGCCGCTGGTCCCCCACAGTTCTATCAAAAGCCACATTCAAAAATCTACTCATAAAATTTCATTTATGACATTTTAGAAAAAGCAAAATAATTGAGACTGTGACCAATGCTATAAATGGGAGAAAAATCACAAAGGTGCTTCGGGGCAAGTGGCATTACTTCCTGTTCTTCACTACTATAGTACTATCCCCTTTACTATTACTACTGTTCTTCAGTACTATAGTACTTACAGGACTGATGTATTAGTCAGCTTTCAAGTTAGTGAACACAACACTTATGATTTAACAAACGAAGAAAGGTTTACTTTAGTGCATGGTTCTGAGGATTCAGCCAATAGCAAGGCAGAATCATCATGGCAGCCAGGAAGCAGAGTGAGGGTAGGGAAAGGGGATAGAGATGGACCCTCCAAAGGCATAACTGAAGGGACAGACCTCTTCCAACGGGGCCCTAGCTTCGAACAGCACATTAGCTATAATCTCACCAGTGGGTCACTTTATCAATGAGCACGGCACTCCTGTGAGCCAATCTCCTTCCAGGGCATATTCTGGATCAAACCTGTAACAACTCCATTTCTTTGCAAAGATGCCCCAAAAGGGTGGATTTTACTGTATTAAATTGTACCTTGATAAAACAGATTTTTAAAAACTACCTTGCTCAATACTTTTAAGATCTAGTGAAAGAACATAAAAATCCTGAAAGATGAGTATAATTTCTTTTTTTTAAAAGTCTGTCACAACTTCTACACTATAGGAGAAAAAAGGCCAAATTTGTGCTGGATTTGATTGTGATACATGCAGCAACTAAAACTAAATGCTCACTGGCTTTGCTAACACAGAAACAACATCTGCTGCTTAAGAACTTTTATAACATTTTTAGACACAAATCAGGAGCAAGCCCCAGGGAACAAAAGCTGAATTGTGCATATCCCTTGGGGAAAACAACTGTGTGTGTGTGTGTGTGTGTGTGTGTGTGTGTGTCTCCAAAAAGATCAGTACCAAATATGTGGGACAAGAGGGCGACCTTTTCCTAGATCCTTTTCTTTGACAGCGTTTTTTTCTGGCTTTCTTCCAAGTTTCGGTTCCTCATAGTAATTGTGTAGAACCCTCTAGAATATGTGGCAGAACACTCAGAGTTCAGAGACTTTCTGCAGAAAGATGTCAAAACTGTTCCGAGGGGCCATCCCACTGACTGATAACCCTGTTACTAGGGTATCGCTGCTAGGTGTGAAAGGTACGCAGGTGCAAGGGTGGGGAGCCAAATGCACAAATAACAGTTAAGATGCTGAGCCCCGACACATGCACCTCAGGACCTCAAAGAAGCGGAGGGGTGGGACCCTCCAGTGTTTTTGCTGTCCAGAAAAGGAATTTAAAGATGTGATTAAGGAGAAGGATGGAGGAGAATAAGGGAAGAAGCCATGATGAAGGTAGCCCAACACCTGCCGCAGAGAGGGACACGGGGGCTGACGGGTGCACTGGCAGCCCCCTATAGGGGCCTAGATGGGAGCTGGGGTTGTGGAACAAGCAGGAAAACACCTGGCCACCAATGGTACTCGCTCTCTGGAAGGCGGAAAGCTCCGAGGCAGGTTTGGGGTAGCATGTATGGAGCATAGCCAGCGCAATGCCATCAGCTGATAGCCAGGAGCCAGGGAGGGCAGCGTCTGCAGGACCGCAGCCTGGCTCAGACCAGCACAGCAAGAAGCAGCCCATCCGCGGGCCAGCAGCCTCAGCCACATGCTGATGTGGCCAGCCAGGGCATCTCAGAGCCCTGCCAGCCAGCGGCCCAGAAGCCCCCGGCCTCGGGCTCCCATAGACAGTGCACTTAGGCCCAGAAATGACTTTCTCCTGAACCTGCCCAATTCCATCGAGTGCCACATCCTGGCACTCAAAAAGCTGCAGAAGCCACGTGATAAGATAGATGCCAAATTTCATGAGAAATTTTGGGCTCTGGAGAAAAAAATACAATGACATATATAAGCCCCTGTTTGCCAAGATCTAAGAGCTCATGGGCGAGATGGAGGGCCTGTGCATGGATCTTGGAGGATGAGGACAGGGAGGAGGAAGAGGAAGATGAGGAGCAAAAGGAGGAGGTGGAAGAGCCCATAGAAGCCAGTGGCATCCAGGTTCCTGATGACTGCAAGCAGTAAGAGGGTGCAATCCGCCGGGAGACGCCAACAGCCACCCTTCTGTTATTTTAGTACTAGTGGACTTTAAAAGGCTTAGGTTTTAGACCAAAAAATAGCAATGTGATTTTTTTTTTTAAACAATGTGAATTTACTCTGGCATTCCTAAATTAAATTAAAGCAATCAGATCCTGGCTAGCCTACTTCTAATTTGACTTTCCTCTTGGAATACAACGAAGACATTAAACATGTTAAACAGAAGTGAATTAAGGTTATTTTTATCTCTTTTTTGTAAGGACTGAAACGAGGGCTTAACATAGTTTGAGATGTGAGCTAAGGCATATCACTTTGAAACCCATTCATCAGTCATTACATATGGGACACCCAGCCAGACTGAAAGCACTTTCCATGCTTAATTCTTTCTTTACTCCCGATATTTTCCAATGTAAAAAAAAGCAAACCACATGATTTCACAAAGAAATGTAACATAAGCCTTTGGATTATTATAAAATTAAATATCACAAACATGACAATTATTCACAAATTGACTTTTAATTTATCATAATTCAAATCAAAACTCAAGCTGGTTCTGGAACTTAATTATCTTGATTGTTTAACTGTAAGAAGTGCTAAGAAAACTTTTAATAATCTAGAAATAATTTAGACTTTTATAGACTCAAAAGAAACTTTAACTGCAAAACACATTGAATTATCAATTACTTGACCAAGAAAAGTTAAAGCAATAGTGACATACAAGAAATAATAGACATAATAACATAAACATTAGAATAATATCAAGATTTAAACACACACATTTTACATTTTCAAACAATGAATTGGGAAAACCTAAAAACAAATATGGACGGGAAATCCTTAACACATTACAGTTCGTACAAATCATATGAAAATTAGTCCCTTTAGGGAAACACACGTTTGGTATCAACAGGTTCCTTTAAGAAGAGGAATGTGGAGGTGGAGGCACATCCCACACTGCACCACGCACCAGGAGAAACAGCTTTGGCAAGGTGAAGATGGGTGCTCAACTGTGCACTCCTGCCTGCAGGTTGACTTTTATTTCAGATAGGGTTTGCTAGCTCAGTCCTACCCCGACGGTCAGGGCTTTCATAACAGAGGGATGTTTATGATGTCCTTCAGAGAGTCCAGTGATTCCCTCCATTTCCTAGCTGGACTCAGCTCCATTCTGTGTTCCCTAGACTGCTTATCCGATAATTCCTCAGGCAGTCATAAAACCTGCATGCTAACCTAGCAGGATTACTCCCCAAGGCAAGTCAAATTCATCACTCAATAACAGTTTTAAACTCATTATTGACCACCCTTAATTGCAAAACACAAAATAACCACATTACCCTCTCAGCCAACTCTCCAAGAGCACCGCAGAGGCAACTGCAGTGTGTGGCTTGCTGGGCACCAGGGCACAGCAGCTCTCCCTGCCCAGGTCTGTACTCCACACACACATGGGCATGAACTCTAGGCAAAATTCATGGAAAATAAAACCAACCACTTTAAAGGGAATTTGACAGTGTTTCATACATTTACCATCCTGTGCAGCCACCGCCTCCATTTCATTGATTTAAAAAAAAATTTTCTTTTTCCTTTTTATCGGTACCGGGGATTGAACTCATGACTGCCTGCTTGCAAGGCAGGCGCTTATGCCGCTGAGCTAAATCCCCAGCCCCCGATTTTAAAATATTTTCAAAGCAACTATATCAGTGAATGACCAAATGTTGTACAGAGTACGTAAAGTAGCCTATGTGTGAAAGAAATGCAAAAACGTTTTTAATGAAATTAAATTTGTTCTTTGTCAAGAGAATACCAAGGACTGAATGGCATGGTGATTCTCACAAACAAATGATGAAATTGGCAGAATTCATTAGCAAAATCAATTTAGCAAAAATACCTATACATACAGATATAAAAGTATATACACTTTAATTCAATTGCACCCTTGGGCCTTTACATTAGAAAGAAATGTTAAAGACAAAAACACTCATAAAAGACATTTGAAACAGTCTTATTAAAAATTGGTGATGAGAAAGAGAAAGAAAAAAGGAAAGGGAATTAAAAAAGAACATAGGAACATGCCAAATAGCCAAAAAAAATGTAACACAGCCATTACTGTCCACTCTCGTTTTGTTATAACCTTTTAAACACTGTTAGTATTGTCTTCACCCATTAAAAAATTCACATATTGCACTTCATACATATGTAGTATATTTTTAACTATAACAACCTTGTCTTTAGAAAATCACACAGTCTGCCTAAAGGGAAAAAGTCAACTCTTCTGTGGTTTTTCTCCTGGAGCAAGTAAAAGGGAAGGAATTCTAAAGCCCTGTCCTAGCTCTCAGCCCAAGGAGCACAAGCTTGGATCAAACCACCTGACTTTGAAACCTAGGTTGTTGGCTACATAACACTGACTGACCAATGCCCCTGTGTGCCTCAGTTTCCCCACCTGAAAAGTGGCAAGGCATGCATCTTGAGTACTTATACTGCCTGATACAGGGCAACACGTGGAGGCCTTACTGACAGTTTAATGACCTGCTGTTGCTGCACCAGGCTAATGTAAACAGAATATAGCCTTTAATGTCTCCACTTCCCCTAGACTATCACGAGAAGATAACTGCAGACTGTCACAGGCCTACCGTTAATAGATCTCAGGGAACTACAGTGTTGATACAGTTTCATACTCAGGTTCTCCCTATGGAATCTAGGTACCCTTTGGACTTTTTATCTAATTATGTTTTGCATTTCTCATGGTGCAGTCCTTTCACTTTCATTCTCAGACTTGTCACCACCATGCAGAGAACAGGAAGACAGCAATCTGATTGTATCACACTGAGGAGAATTTGGGGGAATCCAAAACACATGGTTTTTTCATCAGCAGCAGTAACACCACGTTATACAGTACAAGAAATACTTCACTCTGAGTACTCAGGTAACAGAGTATTATCCAGATGTGACTAAAGCAAGGTGAGATTTGGCTACAAAAAGGACAAGAGTAATCAGCCACATACATCCTTTTACCTGGATGTCTGTTCTTGTCCAACAACAGACATTGAGGTTAAGACCAAACTGATATGGAATCGGTATGCCTTTGGCACTTCCCTCCAACGTAGCCAGGACAACAATGCCCTACTGTTAACAAAACAGCTTCAGTGCTATCAGTATTTATATATACGACTGCCAAGTTACAAATCAGCACATGTCGTTCTGAGAGAACTTTTCTTTCATTTCTTAGTCATTTAAAACAAAACCCCAGTAGCAAGATTACTGATAGAACAGATAAAGGAAATAACTGTAATGATTAATCTTTTATGTCATACTGTAAAGGACTTTGCAGATAAGCTTTCTGTTTTCTGCAGTAAACATGAAACGAAAAGAAAAATTCCTCGTGTCTTTTTCCAGCTGTCACTACCATAACAGCTACATGGAGCACTGTGGCAATAACCACGCCAAGTCCTTGGAAGCTATACAGCAGTACAAGGGCTGAATGTTTGTGTGGTTCCCACCCCAGTTCTGTATGCTGAAATTTTGCCTTCCAGTGGGATGGTGTTAAGAGGTGGGCTCTGTGAAGGATAATCAGATTAGATGAAGTCATGAGGGCAGCCTTATCAGAGTCATGGGAGAGCCAGCTCCCCCTCTCCCCCTCCGCACTGCTCTCTGCCACTTGAGAACAAGAAGTTGACAGTTTGGGAACCCGGAGAGGACCCTCTCTAGAATCTGACCTATGCTGACACTGTGATTTTGACCTTTCAGTCCCCAGAACCATAAGAAATACATTTCTGTTGTTTCCAAGCCAACTAGCCCACAGTACTCTGTTACAGAAGGCTAAAACAGGAACTGTGCCTTCACTTGTCACTGGGTCATGGACACGTAAGCAGTTCTTGACAAGTTCACTGCAGACAAGTTCACTGTGTGCTCAATGAGTGATGTGTCCCTGAGAAGCCAGGACCTAAATTTCCACCAACCACAGAAGCTGGGTCAGTCTTTAATCTCAAGCACAGCATATGGGGCTCCCTCTTTTGCCTAGCAATATGTAACATAACTGCTCTCTTTATGGTACAAAAACTTGAAAACGTTTAAAACTCTTGCTTAGAAACCCACAGTATCCAAAAAATGCAGTTTTATACTACAAATACAACAATAATGTAGGCTCCTGCACTTAGTTTTGGACCCACAGTTTGTGGCCCTAGTCCCATGGCCCTTGTTACTTCCTAAATGACTGGAACCATAAGATTAAGTATTTACCTTTTGTGCTTGATTTTGTCACAGCTTCAGAACAATAAAGGTTAAAATCAGGCTGGGTACTTTAGAGTTCAGAAAGCAAGATCTCTCCCACCTTTTCCTATTCTACCCATTCTGTGTACTTTCCAAGGCAATGACAGAAACTGTGTCTCTGTGAGTGGGGGCTGCTTTTCCTTCTATAACCTGACCCTCTTGCACTTTTTTAATTTATGGATTGACTTTCTTTTACACAGCTGAGTACCATCAGGATATCCTTATAGTAGGAGTTTTATAGGAGAAGCATCAAATGAAAAAGAGCCAAATCACTGAAAGGCAAGAAAAAAACAACCTGCGCACCTTTTAAACGAACACATGCTCTCCTTGCCAGACTAGAGATCACTGATTCTAAGGTGCACTCGCGGGGTTAGCCATGTCATGAGCACGTGCATGGCAGCAACAGACACAAACACTAGAGAAGGAAAAAAGAAAATGAAGAAGCAAAGCGTGCCACACACACACACTTCTATCCTGAACTCCTTTGCTTACAGACCACCAGGGGCTTCTTATGACCTGCTGATGAAACTTACCTTTTCTAGTTTTCAAAGTCTTTTACAATCTGATCACCCAAGTAAGCTAATGTTGATTATCCAAAGAAAGCTTCTTCCCAGCAATGGCCCTGTCCATCATCTGTCTCCTACTCGCTGTTCTATGCCTGAGGAAACAACTCTGGTTGATCTACCACTTAGAGCACCTTAAATGCTCCACCCTCTTATTTCTTTTCCACTTGGCAGGCTTCCAAACCTAGGGCTTTCCCAGCTCTGTCCTCTCCTATATATATGTCCCATTCTACTTATGGCTGTATATGAGGATATTTTATTACCCTAAATAAAATATATTACATTTCAGTATTCCTA